CAAATAGAGCTTTCTTTTGGTGGGTATTTGATCACCTGTGCGCTTTTTATTTTTTGCGCTATAAACAAAAAAACCACGAAAAATTTGAAAAAAAAACAATATTTTCTACTTTCAGCTATAAAAAAATATATCGTAAACTCAAAGTTAGTCATAAATTTAAGCCAAAATGTATTCTGCTACATGTTTTTGGTAAAAAAAATCCCAATAAGTGTATATTGATTGCTTTGTGTGAAAGTTATAGCGTCTACAAACTATCGTATAGATGCTGTAATTTATGCCTTTTTTTGCTATACAGCGCTGCACTAATTCAAATGATAATTGCACGGTCATGCAATGCTGTACCCAAACGAAATTTACGTCCTTTTTTTCACACAAATAGAGCTTTCTTTGGTGGTATTTCATCACCTGTGCGCTTTTTATTTTTTGCGCTATAAACAAAAAAAACCACAAAAATTTTGAAAAAAAACAATATTTTCTACTTTTAGCTATAAAAAAATATATCGTAAACTCAAAGTTAGTCATAAATTTAAGCCAAAATGTATTCTGCTACATGTTTTTGGTAAAAAAAATCCCATAAGTGTATATTGATTGCTTTGTGTGAAAGTTATAGCGTCTACAAACTATGGTATAGATACTGTAATTTATGCCTTTTTTTGCTATACAGCGCTGCACTAACTCAAATGATAATTGCGCGGTCATGCAATGCTGCACCCAAACGAAAATTACGTCCTTTTTTTCACACAAATAGAGCTTTCTTTTGGTGGTATTTGTTCACCTGTGCGCTTTTTATTTTTTGCGCTATAAACAAAAAAAAAAAACAAAAAATTTTGAAAAAAAAAAACAATATTTTCTACTTTCAGCTATAAAAAATATATCGTAAACTCAAAGTTAGTCATAAATTTAAGCCAAAATGTATTCTGCTACATGTTTTTGGTAAAAAAAAATCCCAATAAGTGTATATTGATTGCTTTGTGTGAAAGTTATAGCGTCTACAAACTATGGTATAGATACTGTAATTTATGCCTTTTTTTGCTATACAGCGCTGCACTAACTCAAATGATAATTGCGCGGTCATGCAATGCTGCACCCAAACGAAAATTACGTACGTCCTTTTTTTTCACACAAATAGAGCTTTCTTTTGGTGGTATTTGATCACCTGTGCGCTTTTTTTTTTTTGCGCTATAAACAAAAAAACCACCACAAAAATTTTGAAAAAAAAAATATATTTTCTACTTTCAGCTATAAAAAATATATCGTAAACTCAAAGTTAGTCATAAATTTAAGCCAAAATGTATTCTGCTACATGTTTTTGGTAAAAAAAATCCCGTGCATTAGCGGGCAAACTGGCGCTATCTAGGAGGGGCGCTAACACTATCGGAAGTCACCAGTGACACTAATACAGTGATCAGTAAAAATCTGTTCACTGTAATCAATGACACTGGTGACAGGGCAGTGAAGGGGTTAACTGGGGGGGGGGGGGGGGGATCAAGGGGTTAAATGGGATTTTTCTGGTGCACTAGCGGGCAAACTGGCGCTATCTGGGAGGGGCGCTAACACTATCGGAAGTCGCCAGCGACACTGATACAGTGTTCAGTAAAAATTGGTTCACTGATCAGTGACACTGGTGACAGGGCAGTGAAGGGGTTAACTGGAGGGGGGGGTGATCAAGGGGTTAAACGCAATTACTGGTGTACTGGCGGGCAATCTGGCGCTATCTGGGAGGGGCGCTAACACTATCGGAAGTCGCCAGCGACACTGATACAGTGATCAGTAAAAATTGGTTCACTGATCAGTGACACTGGTGACAGGGCAGTGAAGGGGTTAACTGGGGGGGGGGTGGGGTGATCAAGGGGTTAAACGGGATTACTGGTGTACTGGCGGGCAAACTGGCCCTATCTGGGAGGGGCACTAACACTATCGGAAGTCGCCAGCGACACTGATACAGTGATCAGTAAAAATTGGTTCACTGATCAGTGACACTGGTGACAGGGCAGTGAAGGGGTTAACTGGGGGGGGGGGGGCGATCAAGGGGTTAAACGGGATTACTGGTGTACTGGCGGGCAAGCTGGCGCTATCTGGGAGGGGCGCTAACTCTATCGGAAGTCGCCAGCGACACTGATACAGTGATCAGTAAAAATTGGTTCACTGATCAGTGACACTGGTGACAGGGCAGTGCAGGGGTTAACTGGGGGGGGGCGATCAAGGGATTAAACGGGATTACTGGTGTACTGGCGGGCAAACTGGCGCTATCTGGGAGGGGGCTAACTCTATCGGAAGTTGCCAGCGACACTGATACAGTGATCAGTAAAAATTGGTTCACTGATCAGTGACACTGGTGACAGGGCAGTGAAGGGGTTAACTGGAGGGGGGGGGATGATCAAGGGGTTAAACGGGATTACTGGTGTACTGGCGGGCAATCTGGCGCTATCTGGGAGGGGCGCTAACTCTATCGGAAGTCGCCAGCGACACTGATACAGTGATCAGTAAAAATTGGTTCACTGATCAGTGACACTGGTGACAGGGCAGTGCAGTGCAGGGGTTAACTGGGGGGGGGGGGCGTTAAAGGGGTTAAACGGGATTACTGGTGTACTGGCGGGCAAACTGGCGCTATCTGGGAGGGGCGCTAACTCTATCGGAAGTCGCCAGCGACACTGATACAGTGATCAGTAAAAATTGGTTCACTGATCAGTGACACTGGGTGACAGGGCAGTGAAGGGTTTAACTGGGGGGGGGGCGATCAAGGGGTTAAACGGGATTACTGGTGTACTGGGGGCAATCTGGCGCTATCTGGGAGGGGCGCTAACTCTATCGGAAGTCGCCAGCGACACTGATACAGTGATCTGTAAAAATTGGTTCACTGATCAGTGACACTGGGTGACAGGGCAGTGAAGGGGTTAACTGGAGGGGGGGGGGGCGATCAAGGGGTTAAACGGGATTACTGGTGTACTGGCGGGCAAACTGGCGCTATCTGGGAGGGGCGCTAACATTATCGGAAGTCGCCAGCGACACTGATACAGTGATCAGTAAAAATTGGTTCACTGATCAGTGACACTGGGTGACAGGGCAGTGAAGGGGTTAACTGGAGGGGGGGGCGATCTAGGGGTTAAACGGGATTACTGGTGTACTGGCGGGCAATCTGGCGCTATCTGGGAGGGGCGCTAACTCTATCGGAAGTCGCCAGCGACACTGATCAGTAAAAATCGCTTCACTGATCAGTAACACTGGTGACAGGGCAGTGAAGGGTTAACTGGAGGGGGGGGGGGGCGATCAGGGGGTTAAATGTGTCCTAGAGTGTTTCTAACTGTAGTGTAGTGCTTGTGTACTCACTTTTTGGATGTCTTCTTCTCTGTCTGGAACGGAATGTGTCCAGGCAGATAAGAATGACATCATATCCTGCCCTGTGTATGTCAACACAGGACAGGATAGGACAGGGACCGATCATGTGATTTCAGCCAGAAATCACTGGCTGAAATCTAATGATTGATCCCTCCTGGATCAAATAGTGTCACCCGCGGGTCGGCGGGAGCGCACGCGCGCGCGCCCCCTGCCGGCGAAAGTGTCGGGAGCGTGGAACCCGTTTTTAAACGTGGTTTTGCGCTCCACTGCTGCCCTGCACACGTATATACACAGTGGCAGGGCGGCAAGCGGTTAAGCATGGGGTTGGATCAATCATGCTTTGGGGTTGTGTTGCAGCCAGTGGCACAGGGAACATCTCACGAGTAGAAGGAAAAATGGATTCAATAAAATTTCAACAAATTTGGATGGTAACTTGATGCCATCTGTGAAAAAGCTGAAGTTAAAGAGAGGATGTCTTCTACAAATGGATAATGATCCTAAATACACCTCGAAATCCACGGGGGATTACTTCAAGAGGCGTAAACTGAAGGTTTTGCCATGGCCTTCACAATCTCTCTTCATAATTGAAAATCTATGGATAGACCTTAAAAGAGCAGTGCGTGACAGACAGCCCAGAAATCTCAAAGAACTGGAAGACTTTTGTAAGGAAGAATGGGCAAAGATACCTCAAACAAGAATTGAAAGACTCTTGGCTGGCTACAAAAAGCGTTTACAAGCTGTGATACTTGCCAAAGGGGGCAGTACAAGATATTAACTCTGCAGGGTGCCCAAACTTTTGCAGACGCCATTTTTTTGTTTTCTGTTATTTTGAAAGTGTAAATGATGGAAATAAAATCTAACTTTTGTTGACATAATATAAGAATGTCTAATCTGTAATTTGATGCCTTTTGGAGATTTTTCCATCTTTCCTTGGCTTCTTTATGCACATTAATACAAATTTTTAGCTGGGGTGCCCAAACTTTCGATCCCCACTGTAGTTTGCTCCTAAGACTTTCTTTGGGGTGTATTCATTTTTCCAACATGGTCTCAAATTATTTTTTTAATAAAAATACTTTTTTGTGTGTGCAAATGAACAAATCGTGTTTGCAATCAATGGCACACATTTGTGGGAGTACTTTGTAGCACAGTGTCCCATAGAAAATGTTGATTCTGAAAGGAAAGGAAAGATTTTGTGACAAAGACAATATACTCTGTAATCTGGAAGGATATGAAACATCCTCCAGTGCTCCTGGTTGCAGAGACCATGGATCCTAGCCCAGGGTGAGAGAGCTTGGAAGCTGAATTTTAATAATAGGTCCGCCATCTACTTTAGCCTTATTTTAGAGCTTGAGTTTTGATTAGTATTCATATAAATTGAAGCTTAAAGTTGTCCTTTCACAAAGAAGAAAGTACTAAGGACAGTTACAAGTTATTTTAATGTATTTACTGGAACTTGCTATGGCTGTATTAGCAAGGATTACAGAAAAATATTATAATTAGCATTTTAATGAATTCATTTTTTATATGTAGAAATGCCTGAATCAGCGAAGTTAACATAGTTAAATGTGAATGATGAACTGATTTCTCTTTTTCTCTTTTTCTGACAGATAAATGGAGGACTTCAACTTGTATTAAACTCTGCTGTATGGGTTCCAGAGGGAGGAATGCTTCAGATTTCAAATAGACTGCTGCAGTCTAGGGCATTTGGTGCTGCTGACTCTGAAATCTTATACACAATTACAAGTGAACGCCCAAAATATGGTAACTACTGATTGTGAAGTTAATGGAAGATTTCAGGGATCTTCAAGTGTATTCATACATACCGTATTTTTGAGGTAGAAGTATAAGCAAAATCTATTTCTCATTTTGGATCGAGTAAGGAAGGACTCTAAGCCCTGTAAGGTTTATTTTTGCCCTCTCTGTTCTATTGTGGATATTTACCTACTTCCTGTCCTAAAGCAAAAATAGGAAGTGAGAGGAAATCCCTGCAAATTAAGCGAATCTCTTGGGAACCCCCAAGTCACCAGAACTAGTATCCCCATTGGAAGATTTCCCCTCTATTACTTTTTTGGGGACAGCCCACAATTTGTGAATTTCTTTTTCTTTCACATCTAATGATAATGGTAAACAGGACAAATAGAGAGATTGAATCTCCCTAACGGGGACACAGACAGCAGTACAAACTTACAGGTGTTCTAATCCTTCTAACCTAAACTAAAATAAGTTTTTCCTTTAGTTTATACTTTAAACCAGCCTCAACAACATTGTTACCCCTGAGGAACCCTTGAAATAATTGTCAGGTTCTCGGGGAACCCCTGCTAAAAAAAATAATGTCTACAATTCATGATACATTAGCATGATTAACAAGTCAAAGAAAGTTTTAGATATAAGAATAAGTATTGTAGCATACTTAGTGTTCATTCTAACATTAGTGGTCAGTTTAGAAGCAGTGGGAAATTACCCCTTGCAATGGTGATTAGTGAAGGTGGGAGTTCAATCCACCATTGCTCTAAGTTCAAGGAACCCCTAGCAACCACAGGATGAACCCTGGGGGTTCCATGGAACCTTGGTTGAGAAACACTGCTTTAAATGTTAGTAACTAGAGATGGGTGAGTGTGCCTGTTTTCAGCTTGCAGGGTGTTCATTGACTCCTGCACAAATGCAGAAAATTCCAAACTTAAAATCAAACCCCTTTCAAGTCAGTTTGGGGAGGGGGCAATCTTAAAAATCAGTTGTCATTTACAAGGCTTATAGGCAAGTTATTTGCAACAAGGGCGTGTAGAGTTGAGCACTTCAAGCAACTTGGTAAAAACAGCACACCTATAAAATTACATACTTAGGAGATTCCCTTAAGCTGCTTTTTATGTTACAGAACAGAAAGATTCTTATGAAGAGCATCAGCAACACTGTATTTTGGCATCACAAGTTCTGGATGCGTAATTGATTTTTTTCACTTTTACATTCTTGCTTGGCTTAAATACAGCAACATCTCCTCAAAATGGCTTTTTAGGTAGTTTTAACTGCTACAGCTGCATGGTTATCTAGCAGTAATCAGCCTACACTGAACAGTAAAAATAGCAGTCACAATAGATCTTAAAGCTACAAAAAGTGTACTTTTAAAAAACACAAAGCTGTAAAAATATAGTTTGTGAGCTTCTTTTTTGAAGTACCACATTGTGTTGTCGTAAACATTTGATAAAATGTTAAAACAGAGTGCACAAAAACACTTTAAAACCAAAACCTCACATTCTCCAAACCCCCTCCCCATCCCTCTATCCCTAATTATTCTCAAAATATTTAAGAAATAGACTTATGGTATGTGTTTGGTAGGAATTTGCTAGCGTCAGGACAGTAGACAAGCACTTGAATAGGCAGAAAATTAAGAAGGACAAGGCAGTTTTTGTCTTGCAATAAAAATTGAAGTGTATTATATGAGAAACAGTAATCACATACATTGTACAGTGGCTGGACAGTATGTAAACAGCTTCCTTAGGCTGCACTATAGGAGGGAGAGGCGAGACAGGTTGCATCCTGAAATAAACATTAGAGTGTATTATTTTAGAGACATTAGCCACACGTATTGAACATTGGTTGGTTAACCCCTTGTGTAAGCCACAATAGGGAGAGGCACGTTTTATCCTGAAATATAAATGAAAGTATAGCCACATATTTTGTACAGTAGAAAAACACCTTGGTTAGGCCACAGTTTAAAAGGTAGGGACAAGGCAGGTTGTATCATTAATTAGGAATTTGAGTGTATTACTTCAGAGACAATAGACACAAATAGTGTACAGTCACTGCACAATATGTAAGCACCTACTTTGGGCCACAATATAAGGAGAAGGAATGAGGTAGGAGTGTATATTGCTCTTCGGCCACAAATAGTCTACAATGGCTGGATAGTAAGGATACAGCTTCTTTATGCTACAACATTATAAATAAATAAAAAATTTAGAGTATATATTTTTCTGTGGTTAGGCCAAAATGTAAGAGAGAGTTAAAGCAGGTTGTATTCTGAAATAAACCTGAGGGTGTATTTTTTTACAGACAACAGCAACACATATTGTACAGTGGCTGGACAATATATAAGCAGTTTCTTTAGGTCACAGTGTAAAAGCAAAAGACAAGACAGATTTGATCTTGAAATAACAATCAGAGTGTATTGTTTCAGAGAAAAGAGCCACAAATAATGTACAGTCTCTGGTCTGTATGTAAGCAAAAGGGAAATATGAGGCAGGTTTTATCTTCAAACAAACATTAGGCTGTATTATTTCAGAATCAATAGCCAGACATAATCTATGGTGGTTGAAGAATGTGTAACAGATTGATAAGGCCACATTGCAAGAGTGAGAAATGAAGCAGGTGCAAATAAGCATTAGAGTGTATTATTTCATAAGACAATTAGGTCACGTATTGTACAGTGACTAAACTGTATGTAGGCAGCTTGGTGTGTGGCTGCAATACAGGAGGGAGAGTCAGTTGTTCTTGAAATAAATACTATAGTGTATTATTTTAGAGACAGTAGCCACACATTTTTTTTGGTTGCTAGAGCACTGGACTAGGCCTCAAACTTGGAGACACAGAGCATGACTAAACCTGCAGCAAACATTACCTTTTTTGCAGCTGTGGAAAGATTATATTTGGCATCTTAAAGTGCTCAAGCACCATAATAGGCCATACACTTTATTATGTAATGCAGGATTTACCATGCAGCAAAAAAATACATTTTTTTTCAGCTGAGGTCCTGCTACATTACCATATATTAGTGTGGCATAATTACAGTGCCAGAGCACCAATGTAGATCAGAAGAGATGGCAGGAGCTATTAATGGTTGCAGACCAGCAGAAGTTCAGTAGCTGGTAATGAAGAAATGCCAGCAGGGATGGCAGGAACAGGTAATGGTGACAGGCCAGCAGAGGTGGCGGAAGCTGGTAATGGTGGCAGGCCAGCAGAGAGGTGGCAGGATCTGGTAATAATGGCAGACAAGCAGAGGGGGTACAGTTGATAATGTTGGGAAGCAAGCAGAGATGGCAGTAGCTGGTAATAGTGGCAGGCCAGCAGAGGCAGCAGCAGCTAATGATGGTGGAATGTACTATTTTCTGTGGGGGGACTGGATAAGAAAGAAATATTAAGTTGCTAATATCAGCTACAGGAGTTCGTAATCATTGCTGATCTAGGACTGGTTCATTTTTATGAAAGTCAACAGTGTTAGGTTACAGGCAGGCCTGTATCACTATAACAAAACCACTTGCTGCGCTGAAGACTGCCTCAGACAGCACACAGCATACCAGAAGATTCAGTATGTGCTGGACCCATAGGGTTATCTCACTGGCATTATTACCTTAATGTATTGATGTTGATGTAAACAATCTGGTTCCCGGGCAGGCAACTTCTACACCCCAGAGGATCTCCACAGTCTTCTTGGCTTGTAGTCTAATATAACAAAAATTGAAATTGAGGTACCACACCACTGCTAAGAAGTCCAGATACAACTTCCGATAAAGTTCAGGGATACAACCCAAAAAGTATGTAACACATTTTCGGGGTCCAAAAATACCCCCTTCATCAGGACTTGATTGACAACAATTTGAACAAACCAGAAGTGAGCTGGACCTACGGTGGTATTTGTTGCAGTGTGAATTACATACAGGACTTGTCAGCAGCCTATTTGGCAGCCAATTTTTTCGTTTTGCCATCATTGCTTAGTCAATCCTACCAAATAGTTGTTCTCCTAGAGGGATTTAGTTGCTAATTCCTGCCTCATTACTGCTCACCCCCTCTGGTTGCCTTTTCAAATGGTAACAAGATGCTGCATGTGTCCTGAAATACATATAGTTAGGGTACATAGTTGGTAAGGTTGAATAAAGACACCAATCCATCTAGTTCAACTTGTGTGTGTGTGTGGGGTGGGGGGGGGGGGGGGGGGGTATATGTGTGTGTGGGTAGGTGGTAGAACACTACCTGCCTGGAGTTTGCATGTTCTCCCTGTGCTCACATTTTTCCACCTAAACTACAAAGACATGCCAGTAGGTTAATTGGCTCCTGTATAAATTAGCCCTAGTATGCTTAAGCATGGCTATGTGGTATGTACCTTAGATTTTTAACTTTAGATTTTAACTTCCTTGAGAACAGAGACTGATGTGAATGCACACGATGTAAAGTGCTGTCTTAATTGCTGGTGGTATTTGAATACCTGTAATAAATATTTTTTATTCAAAAACGTTAGACCCATAGATGATTTGTGAAAATTATTTTTGGTAAGGAATTCATATAAATTAGAAGAACATTGTTTAAATTTATCCTTGTGAGCGGTACAAAATATAACAGGTGTTTAAAAATGCAGAAATTAGGAAGCTGGTGTTCCAAGGAACTAATACATAACAGCGGATAAAGTAATACCAGAAAACAGCACTCCCATCCATCACTACATTCAGGTAAAGTGGTTAAGTCTATAAAGAATGGGAAAGGCAGGGAGGAAATACAATAATAGCAGTAAAATGTTCACTCTTTCCCTCATTGGGTAGGCAGTAGCATCAGACCAGAATTCTATCTAGCACCAGGTCAGTAAGAACAAAAGCCTGGGACAGCTAACCAATCCTCCTATAATTTGTTGAATTTTCCTGGGCATCCCCTTTGTTTAAAAATACTTTTTTCCAATTTAATGGTGTCACCTATGTGTGTGTGACCCATTCTTTAGGTGGGAGCTCTGTCAGACTTCCACTGTTGGAGGATAAGCTGTCGAGCTCGACGCAAAGCTCTTTTGACAGCAGCTTTCTGAAAATCAGTGGGAGGTCATCCAGTTTACCCAAAATACAGTGATTGGGTTCAACAGGGATATCAGTTTGGAAGATTGAATTAATGGTAGTAACAATGTGTGTGACCAATAACGATGGAGCTTTGGGCAGTGCCATTAAAGGTGAATAAGGCCACCCTGTGCAGCAGCACACTTAGCATGGAGGAAGGACTGCAAGGTACCCATCAAATGGAGTTTAAGAGGTGTATAGTGGGCATGTAGAACTATATATATAACTGCAAGAGCCTTTGACTGGTATTAAGAGTAAAACTGATTCTAAGGCATCCTTATCCAATTGACCTACGTCCTGCTCCCATTGTTCTTTAGCTTTAAAAGGGTACCCCTTTGTGTCCTGCACTGATTGAATGTAGTGGAAAATGGGTGTAGGAGATAAAAAAACCAATTAGTCATGGGGCCTTGAGCACGGCCAGCATGGAGCAGTTGAAGGACCCTGAACTGTCCTCGCCCACAGCCAGACCTTCTGAATTAAAGAGTATGCGAGGTACATCCTATTGGAAGACTTCAAAGAGGAGGATTCCAGGGTGCCAGGAATGTCTAATGTTTTCATATGGTTTTGCTTTATAGAGTGGGCAGACGAAGATATCTGGTTGGCAGCATTTGCCCGTAGAGTAAAGGCACCAATAAGATCTTGCAATTGGGCAGCCAAATAGTATAGCCATGCCATGGGTTGAGCAGAGCTACTTCTCCTCTATAGTATAGTAGAGTGCGAAAAATTAGAGTTAACCAGTCTAAAAATGTATAAAAGGATTATTACAGGGGAATTGTAGAGAAAGTAAAGTCAAGATGCATACATACAGTGCCTTGAAAAAGTATTCATACCCCTTTTTTCACATTTTGTCATGTTACAACCAAAAACGTAAATGTATTTTTAACATGACACTTTTCAGATATTTCAGATATTAATTTATCATTTTCCTTCCACTTCACAATTATGTGCCACTTTGAGTTGGTCTATCCCATAAAATCCCAAGAAAATAAATTTACGTTTTTGGTTGCAACATGACAAAATATGCAAAATTTCAAGGGGTATCAATACTTTTTCAAGGCACTGTATTTTAATAAGGTTGGCTCTGCCAATTAAAGACAGCCATAGCTTATTCCAAATCTTAATGTGTGCCTTAAAATGGTGAAGAAAGGGTATAATATTAAGCAGTAATCTGTGATAGATTGGGATATATGTATTCTCAGGTACTTAAATGACTGTACCGCAGGGACAGGACATCTAATGGTAAGAGGGCAGGTTTGGTCCAATTAATCGTTAGACCTGAATATAGGCCAAAAGAAGTTATTACAGCTATGACCTCTCTGAGAGAAGCATCTGTGTCACATAAAAATAGGAGCATGTCATCAGCATAGAGGCTTACTTTCTCATGCAGTTCCCCATACCAAAAGCCCACTATCTTATCATTTGCTTGAATCATCGCCACCAAGGGCTTGATAGCAAGAGCAAATAATAGAGGGTATAGAGAGCACCCCTGCCCAGTCTGGTTTGTGAGGTCCTGCCTCCCTCCCAAATGGAAGCAACAGGTGTGTGGTATAACAATTTGACCAAGGAAATAAAAGTGTGCATGTTCAAAAACTCTCTGAATATTAATGGCCATGGACTTTAATGGCATAAAGCCAGATTGGTCAGAATGTATCATATTAGCAATGTATTTATTTAGGCGAGTAAGGAGTATTTTAGCCAAGATTTTAAACATCTGCTGGCAATAAAGAAATGGGCCTATATGAGCTTGGGTCTGTGGCAGATTTACCAGGTTCTAATAGTAACACAATGTTCGTTCTAGTCATCTAGTCATAGAATCAGGAAGGCAGTCCTTTTCTAGAGCAGTCTGATGTACCTTCAGTAACTGCAGAGCTAAAGTGTCAGCATAAAGTTTGTAAACCTCAATGGGAATCCCATCCTCTCCCAAGGCCTTACAATTTGGAAAAGAAGCGATGGCTTTTACTATCTCCTCCTCTTTGATAGGGGTGTCCAGAGAACATTTGTGTGCCATGTAAAGTTTCAGGTGGGTAACCTGATCTAGGAAATTCAGGAGTTCAGGCAGAGAGGGTTGTGCCTTAGGCTGGTTTAAATCTGTATAGAAACGCACCAGTTCGGTCATGATCAACTCTGGACAGTTGGGCAATGTGCCATCGACGGTGCATAATGCAGAGATAGGAGATACCCCAAGTTGTGCATTAACAATACAATTTTAACCAGAAGGCATTCTGTCTGCTCACCCTTCTCATAATAAGTCAATTTTTTTAACCACCTCCCACCCGCCATATAGTACAATGACGGGCGCAAGGTGGTTCTCTCGTTCTAGGAGGATGTCATATGACGTCCTCCCATTCTCACCGCGCATGCGCAGCTCAGAGAGTGCGCAGCGCGGCTATCAGCGGTGCGCTGTGTCCCTTGGACACAGCGGATAACCGATCCACAGAAAGAGCCGAATATGTCGGCTCGGTCATGTGATCACCTGTGTCCAATCACAACTGATCACATGTAAACAGGGAAATGCCGGTTATCAGCATTTCTCTCCTCTCAAGCTGTCACGCTGACAGCTCGAGAGGAGAGGAGAGCCGGTAATCGGCATTCCGCGGAGGGGGCATGTACACTGATCATCAGGGCACTGATGATCAGTGTAGCCCCAGCAGTTCCACCTGTCAGTGTCCATCAGTGCCACCTGTCAGTGCTCATCAGTGCCACGTGCCAGTGCCCATCTGCCTCAGCAATGCCACATATCAGTGCCTACCAGTGCACATCAATGCCACATATCAGTGCAAATCTGAGCTGCCTTTCAGTGTCACCCGTCAGTGCCACCTATCAATGCCAATCAGTGCCACCTATCAGTGCTGCCAGCCAGTGCCGCCTATTAGTGCCAGCCAGTGCCGCCTATCAGTGCCAGTCAGTTCCGCCTGTCAGTGTGCATCAGTGCCGCTTATCAGTGCAGCCTATCAGTGCCAGTCAGTGCCACCTAACAGTGCCCGTCAGTGTCGCCTATCAGTGCCCGTCAGTGCCGCCTATCAGTGCCATATATCAGAGCTGCCTTTCAGTGCCCATCAATGATGCCTGTCAATGCCCATCAGTGCCACCTACCAGTGCTTCCTCATCAGTGCCACCTATCAGTGTCCATCAGTGCAGCCTATTAGTGCCCATCACTGCAGCCTCATTAGCGCACATCAGTGAAGGAGGAAAATCGCTTATTTACAAAATTTTATAGCAAAAACTAAGAAAAACATTTTTTTTTCTAAATTTTCAGTGGTTTTTGGTTTGTTTAAGAAAAAATAAAAAACCCAGAGTTGATTAAATATCACCAAAAGAAAGTTCTATCTGTCACAAAAAATTATAAAAATTTCATATGGGTACAGTGTTGCATGACCGCGCAATTGTCATTCGAAGCATGACATGACTGAAAGCTGGAAATTGGCCTGGGCAGGAAGGGGGTATAAGTGCCCTGTGGTTAAAAAATCTTTTCCACTCCGCTGCAGTGACCTGTAGTTGTTTAAGCACATTTTGGGATGCCAATCATGTCTCCTGGTGTGTTTAGAAGAAAGTTTATCTAGCTTAGGGCATGTATTGTAACAGGCCCAGACTGTACTGTAGTGGGTAAATGTCTTCTGCCTCGTTGCAAAATGACCATGCTATGGCTTATTGGAGCGGTAGAACCTAGATAATTGTTACAATCAGCTTTGAATATATTTTTTATATGGCCCTTAAACACTTGCTGCCCCGCCGCTGTACATTTATTGTGGTCATGAAGGGGGTAAAACCTTCCAGAACTCAAGGGGTTATTGTAATGCCAACAATTATGTGTATACTTTAGAGAGCTGCATGCTATGGCTGATCAGTCCACAGCCCCTGTTCCTTATAATGTATCCCTTATACCAGTGGTATTGAAATAAAGTGAATTTCTATTTTCTCTTCAACCAGTCAATTAACATAGTATTGATTTTTCAGGTGAAGTTGTGCTTTTGTCCCCAATGTCTGCTGATGGACCAGCAGACAGCTGGCAACGTTTGCCTGATGGAAGATTTGCCACACCAACCACTTCCTTCACACAAAAGAACATCAATGAGGGCCTGGTATGGTATCGGCACTCAGGGTCCCACTCACAAGGAAGAGACTCATTCAGCTTCCAGGTACATAATAATGTGGGGTTCATAGAAATATGATACATACATCTCTTACCAATATCCAAGGTTGATATCTTTGTACATATAATGTATTTTGGTACTCATAATTCTTGGAAAGGCTCCAGTCTTTTCAGGGGGTGGTGCTAAAGCCTAACTTTGTAAAGGAGGTGGAGTTAGGAGTGAAGCAGTGGGGGTGCAGACAGGTCCCACTCTGATGATGTATGCTGGTCCATACAAGCAGCTTTGACATGCCTCCATTGCCATGGATGTGGTGTACTCCTATGTGTGAGTGTAGTTACTGAAATTTCACTCATGTCTCTTATCCCATGTTGTTCGGGAATTCAAATCCTGAGGACACAGAGTATCCAGAATAATGGATCCAATATATTTTATATGGGAAAAAGAGTATCAATGATCAAATGATTATGATGATTATATAATTATAGGTAATTGAAAGGGAGTATCTTACTGAGGCATGTTGGGATATGGAAGACAGTTTAAAGGTATTCCCAGTGTGGGCGAGTTGACTGTTAAAAAGGTTACCCCTTGCAACACATAAGCCTGGATGCAGGATTGAGGTAGTGCTTATGTTAAAGGTCTGATGAAATGATGAGCAGAAAACTGTTCACACTGGTTGGAGAAATTTTGTGTTTTATGTTGGATTTAGGTAAAAGACATTAGGACATCATGCACACTAGCTGTTTTAACAACGCCAATATCGTTAGCTGAGTTTTTTAGTGTTTTTGCATTAGTGCTTAGCCACGTTTTGCAGCTTTAGTGTTTTTTTAGCATTTTTTAATTAAAACGTTTTTGTTTACGTTTGGCTCAAAAACACCGGTTTTGCTACATTTTACCACTTTTTACCAGCATTTTTACAGCTAAAAAAAAACTCCTCTTGAAACCCACTAGTTTGGGTTTTTTTCCAGCCAGAAAACTCCCCCTGCCAAAAACGCTGCCTAAAACCTATGTGTGCATGGACACATAGGGTAACATGCTGGGGAGTTTACTGGCTGTAGCAATAAACACCAGAAGCCGAAAACAGCAGCTGTAAATACGCCCAGTGTGCAAGAGGCCTAAATAAAATTACAATGTTATTGGAGATTATACACTATTGGCAGTGTGCTCTGTGTTCATATTGCTCCATCACTGAGTTAACTATGTTTGGATCTGACTGAAAATGGTTATATCTTGTGAAATACCTTTTTGCTTTCCTGTGCAATTGAATTAAATGGTTCTGTACCCTTACAGTATATGACTGCATGTTCATTTCAACTCCTAGCCAGCAAATTCTCGATCCTCCTAACTCACTCAGTTAGAAAGTTCAAATTCAGCAATTGTCACTATCATAACATGCAAAACTACTGTAATTGTAAAATCAGGTCATCATATAAACTACAATCGTTATAAATCAAAATATGTAGAGCCTTTAAAAATTACCTTTGTATGATCATACAGGTGAAACTCGAAAAACTAGAATATCGTGCAAAAGTTCATTTATTTCAGTAATGCAACTTAAAAGGTGAAACTAATATATGAGATAGACTCATTACATGCAAAGCAAGATAGTTCAAGCCGTGATTTGTCATAATTGTGATGATTATGGCTTACAGCTCATGAAAACCCCAAATCCACAATCTCAGAAAATTAAAATACTACATGAAATCAATAAAACAAGGATTGTACATAGAACAATATCGGACCTCTGAAAAGTATAAGCATGCATATGTACTCAGTACTTGGTTTGGGCCCCTTTTGCAGCAATTACTGCCTCAATGCGGAGTGGCATGGAAGCTATCAGCCTGTGGCACTGCTGAGGTGTTATGGAAGACCAGGATGCTTCAATAGCGGCCTTCAGCTCTTCTGCATTGTTCGGTCTCATGTCTCTCATCTTTCTCTTGGCAATGCCCCATAGATTCTCTATGGGGTTCAGGTCAGGCGAGTTTGCTGGCAAATCAAGCACAGTAATCCCACGGTCATTGAACCAGGTTTTGGTGCTTTTGGCAGTGTGGGCAGGTGCCAAGTCCTGTTGGAAAATGAAGTCAGCATCCCCATAAAGCTCGTCTGCGGAAGGAAGCATGAAGTGCTCCAAAATCTCCTGGTATATGGCTGAGTTGACCCTGGAATGAAGCACAGTGGACCAACACCAGCAGAGGACATGGCTCCCCAAATCAACACAGACTGTGGAAACCTCACACTGGACTTCAAGCATCTTGCAGTGTGTGCCTCTCCATTGTGCCTCCATACTCTGAGTCCTTGGTTTCCAAATGAGATGCAAAAGTTGCTCTTATCAGAAAAGAGGACTTTGGACCACTGAGCAACAGACCAGGTCTGTTTTTCACTGACTCCAGCCTCAGTCCACTCCTTGTGAAAGTCCCCAAAACTTTTGAATGGCCTTTTCCTGACAATCCTCTCCAGGCTGCGGTCATCCCTGTTGCTTGTGCACCTTTTTCTTCCACACTTTTCCCTTCCAGATAACTTTCTATTAATGTGCTTTGATACAGCACTTTGGGAACATCCAACTTCTTTTGCAATTACCTTTTGAGGCTTTCCCTCCTTATGGAGGGTGTCAGTGATGGTTTTCTGCACAACTGTCAGGTCAGCAGTCTTTCCCATGATTGTGATTCCTACTGAACCAGACTGAGAGACCATTTAAAGGCTCAGGAACCCTTTGCAGGTGTTATGGCTTAATTAGCTGATTAGAGTGGGACACTTTGAGCCTAGAATATTGCACCTTTTCACAATATTCTAATTTTCTGAGATTGTGGATTTGGGTTTTTCATGAGCTGTAAGCCGTACTCATTACAATGATGACAAATCACAGCTTGAACTATCTTGCTTTGCATGTAACGAGTCTATCTCATATATTAGTTTCACCTTTTAAGTTGCATTACTGAAATAAAATTAACTTTTGCACGATATTCTAATTTTTCAAGTTTCACCTGTATATGCAGTAGACAAGTACATAGATTTGTAACAAACTAGGGTATAATTATACCCTAGTTTGTGATTTATTTTCATATTTTGCTGAACTCCTTTTTTGGATTTAACAATTTAGACCAGGGGTCTCCAAACTTTCTAAACAAAGAGCCAGTTTACTGTTCTTCAGACTTTAGGGGGGCCGGACTGTGGTCATTGGGAGTAATAAATGTCCTAGCATCAGTTGGAGTAAACAATGCCCCATTGTTGGTGTCAATTGGTAGTAATTGTTTCCCATTATTGGTAGGAATTGTGCCCCAAAATTTGTAGGAATTGTGCCTCACTGGGCACCATTGTTGGTGTTATTGGGAGGAATTGTGCCCTATCACTGAAGTCAATGCGAGGAATTGTGCCCCATCACTGGTGTCATTGGAAAGAATTGTACCCTGTCACTGATGTTATTGGTCCCCATTGTTTGTGTCATTGGGAGGAACTGTGCCCCATCACTGGTGTCATTCGGAGGAACTGTGTCCCATCGTTGGTGTCAGTGAAAAAGCAGTGCTCCAAGGTCCAGATAAAAGCGAGCAAAGGGCCACATTCGGCCCCCAGACCGCAGTTTAGACACCACTGATTTAGACTATCCTGTCAGTTGGCAGTATGTTAAAAGCAATGGTCCAGATAAACTATTGTCGGTGAGTCACATAATTGGTGCAGGGAAATTAGCTTTTTTTTTTGGATGTGCCAAATAATAGTTTTGATTGAAGGGCTTGAAATGAAAGATGTGAATAGTGCGGCAATTGTATTAAAAAAAAAGAAAAAAAAATTCAACGTGAATCTACACCAAATAAATAATGGCACACAATATGTCAATATTTATCAAAAAAGAGCTGTGCAGTAGTGTGCCAAGAGGATGATACCAAAAAGAAAGTACAGATTCTACTATGTGCCAAATAAACTATATGCGCTGTGACATGATAGCTTAATTGACAATTTGGCTAAAATAAGATGACACATTCAACAATTCACATTGCACAGCCATTGCCAATGTAAATTTATCTGGTCCCCTTTTTTTATGGCTGGGTTTTGGTTTTAGCTGGGTACTTATTTAATTTCATGGAAATATATTTGCCTTGTCGTAAGTGCTGCTTTTGCTTTCTCTTCACTTGAAGACAGCCCCATGTAGAGGATTATTTCCTGTTTACAAAAAGCAAGGTTTTTATGGAGCCTTGACAGCCCACTTGTTCATTGCTAAAGGGGTATGAGTAATTTGCTGTAGAACCCAAATTAATCTATTTCGATTTTACTTGTAAACTAGAAGTTTGCTATGTTGTGGTTGTGGAGTATGGACGTGAACAGTGACTTGCAGGCTAAAAGGGTATTACTTTTTTCTAGTTATTTAAAGTTAGCACTTAGGTCCATTTTGATTATTGTCTTGTGACCACATTGGGGAAATTTCTGCTCAAAATGCACCCCATGGAGTTTCTTGCCAGTTCTACTGCAACTTAGTGTTTTGTTGCTGTCTGCCCCCATGGAGATTTTCCATTGTCTCCTCTTCAAGCTAATATAATCTTCAACACTCAGGCCGTGAGTAGATAGCTCTAGTAGGTTCTAACACTGATCTACTGTATTCAAAACTAAAAAAAAAAGTTTAGGATAGGCTTGGGGTTTTAACTCTGCATGTGAAAATACATTGAGATTCCTTTGCAATTTACACTGAGAAGAAGGGAGAGATATATACTTGGCTCTTGTGCCTTCGTTAGTTCATTGCAAGTATTAGAAAGAGATAAGTGTGTTTGTTCCAGAAATTGAAGCACACAGAGTTCAACCTAGTCATTATCACAAGGACCTTTTTGATTATTGTACTCTCATAATCCATCAGTTTGGGTGATTAAAGCATTCTGCAAAGTAACGCACTAGATAACTCCGACAGATAAGGAGTGACCTGGGAATGTTTCATGCAGATGTAAGCAAATCTTCTGTAGAGTGCCCCTAAATTACTGCTGTCTTCTCTTAATGAACTTACTACCCATTGCTCTCAGAGGAAAATTATCTTTAAATGAGAACATAAAATCAACTTGCAGAACACACCTGCCACTATGTTTTCTAAATAACTTGAGGTTGGCTATTTTATTATTTAAATAAAGCTGGTTAATTTAAATGTCAAATATAAAACATGTCTGGTTCCGTGATAACTCATAGCTCCTGTCAGGCGATGCAGGAGCATCTTTCTCTCTTTTTGTCCTCAAGCACTCTTTCTCTTTTTTGTCTTACATCCAAATTATACACGCTTTCACAGAAAAAAGTACTGTTTTCATTGACAAAGCTGTATGTTTTGATGGTAACTCTATGTGAGCATGTAACCAGTAAATTAGTTTGTAGCTTAATTTTCAAACACTAGTATAAAAGTGAATAAGTGACTTTGCTCATTGCAGCTGGTCAGATGTGTGTGTTTTTTTTCATGCATATATCAGCGATAGCACTGATTTGATTTTTTGTTATGTTATTGCTACTGGAAACACAGCTTTTAAAGCCCCAAAAACTGTTTCTTTGTTATACACACTTATGGCACTTACAGTTTAACACCAAAGTGTGAACATATTGGCAAGGGAATCATTTGACAGTAGATCCTAACTCGCTAAAGGCTGGTTCTCTGTTGTGAATAACTCTCCAATGCTATGAGAGGGAAACCTTCTTCATCATGGGTCTGTAAGGACATGAAGATTTGTACAGGAAGCAAGCCAGTGTGACTGTTTTCCCTTTTCTGTATGTAACAAGGTACATATAAATGAATTCGTGGCATGTTTTTTCCAAGACATTTTGGCTCTTATTGTTTTTCTTTTAAGGATTTGCTTTACAGTTGTAGGCTGCATTCACACTTGAGCGGAGTGGATTTGTTTTGCAGGCTTTTTTTATATACAGTATTATATATAAAATGCCTGGTCTGTGCGGTTTCCTGCATTTTTTTACACATTTTTTCACTCATTTTTTTTCAGGTGCTCCTAGTCTTTTGGGGCAAAACATTAATGTTTGAAGCTGGTGGCTCCAAAAAAGCTCATATACCTTTTGGAGCTTCACGCGACAGCTAGCGATGCCTAGATGAAAGCAGATTCAATTTAAAACCATGTGATTTTGGATGTTGAGAGTATATAGCATATAATATATAGACAGCACCTACAATTCTATGCTGGATGAGGGTGCGTGTCCCTACGCACCATCTGGCCAATTGATGAATCTAAAATATAACCTTTATTCACATATATAAAATGTATGCTCAGCTGTAATTAATGCCTATTGGAGTGGAATGTACTGCGCACAACAATCTGACTGGATACCATTGCAATTATTTACCTTACATCCAAATGGTTAATAATACCAGACCAAAGCAAGTACCATACCGTTTTAGATGAAGTGACAGCAGAAAAAGAATCACTGTAGTTTGATCATAAGCCTATCAGCTTGAATATATAATCTCTATTAAGGAAATGGAGTTACCCCATGGACAAAACTAATTAGATAGTATAATCTGTCTTGCTACAGATATGTAATACGGGTACACTCATCCACGGGCTTGAATGTCAGCCTCTCATGGACAGCCCCATACATCACCATATCCAGACAAAAATATCTCACTCTCTTGAGGAATGCAAATGATGCACTGTAAAACACAGTACAGACCTCTGCAATAAAAGAGGAGGGGAGAGGAATGAATACCATGTGCATTCAAAAAGTGCTCCCAAAGAAAGACCCAAAAGAAAAAAAAAAGAGATTCTGCATATTTCGCTCCAAAAAAACAGAGCTTTGTCAGGAGTATAAAAAATGTAAATAGTGGCTGGAAGTTGTGCTTAGCTTCACATGGTGGCAAAATGGCACCTATCATTTGTTTCACCTCTATATATAGAGATGCTGGCCATCAAAATGGCCCCCACACATGCTCAGTTCCTCAACAGACGCCATGTTGTGGAAAAAACCTGCACATGCTCAGTACCTCAACAGACAAACATTTGTTTGACATACAATTTAAAAACCCAGTGATGATTAAATACCACCAAAAGAAAGCTCTGTCTCAAAAAAAATTATAAAAATTTCATATGGGTATATTACTGCGCAATTGTCATTCAAAGTGTGACAGAGCTGAAAATTGGCCTGGGCAGGAAGGGGGTGAAAGTGCCCAGTATTGAAGTGGATAAAGTGAGATGGAAATTAAAAGTAGTCTAATTTAGTTATACTTTTTCTGGGATATCACTGGCTGCTTGGGGCAATACCTACATTGTTGCACTCTATCATTTGAAAAATAGTTCTAGGGTACGTCAGTGTATAACTGAAGAAGCACTGTATAGCATATGTGAAATAATGTAATTTCCTGACTGCTGTTGGGTATTAGGCACATATATTCATGGACTTTGAACTAATCCTATTATTGGCTCAACACCCAACATGCTGACTGTGCTGTTTATGTGCCATTAAAACTGGCAGCATATTAAATAGTTTAAAAACAAAAAGTAGCCAAAAATACTTTCTCTGTTGACTTTGTTTCTTTCTTTTTTGAAAATACACAATTCACGCAGATATGCTTAAAAACAAGATACAGTTCACACATAACAGTATCATAAATTATTTCCTTAACAGTTAATACCTTTTTAGTAACATTTTTAAATTTAATGTAAGCAGTGTTAAGTCATTCTCGCAAGGTATTATCATTAGGAAAATGTCTTAAGTAGACTTTTATTTTTAAATATAAAAAAGTAATTCTTTTTTTCTATATATTGTATTATAGAATATTATTTTAAAAGGCTATGCATTCTAAAGTTTATTAGATCATGCTGTGGTAACTTATAAGCTGGTAATATATACTGCAGTTTTTAGACAACTGAAAAGGCTTTCAAAAAGCTTTGATTGTAAAAGCGGCAGAATAGATCAAGCAACCTATAACCAAGAGCATAAAATAGAAATAGTTGATGAGACCTTGAATAGACCATTTTGTTGTTTATGCAATCAAAGCTGCTTAAAAGAGATTGAAAGTGTATGAGAGTGCCTGGATTTTTGTGTGTATGGTCAACATACGTCATGTCATGTTTTGATACCCAAAAGCTGGCAGGGCTACAGGATGCCATAACTGTCACCCAGCACACTACTAGCCAGTTACAATGTGTTAGCTGCTCATTAATAATGAAGGCTGTTATAAAAGTGCCCATCTTTAGAGGATACGATCACTGGCTTTATAATTTATTTTTGGTGTATTTAAATAGCATTACTAAATACAATCATGTTTACCTTACAAAACTGAAAACAATTGTTCTTCAAATATATTTTTGTTGTATGTTATGCAGTAACCGCATCTGTTTTAATTGATGTGAAAAATTATGATTATATGCATTTCTATCGACTTTCAGATTTCCAGTGCCACAACAACTCAGGCACCCCAGGATAGGCACATGTTTAATATTGGCATTCTACCAAACCACCCTGGTGCACCACAGCTTTCTCCTGGAGCCTCCCTTCACATGACTGTAAGTTAAAATAAACCTTCTCAAAGAGAAGATAGTCTTTAGATAAAATATAAATTATGAGTGAGGTTGGATTAGGAGTCTTTTTAAAAGATGGAAATGGGACATATGCGCCTCCTATCAAAGCACATAGAGTACCTAGAGATCAAAAGGCCGCAAAGCAAAATATTTATGGGTTCCCATCAGAGGTAGCCAGCCTATAATTTACCCCTGTAGTACTTCTATTTATGTCTCTTAAAGTGTTACTAAACCCACAACAGTAAAATCAGTCTGTATATGCAGTAAAGCATGCTTGTTATACTCACTGTGGGACCTAGAGGGTTAATCCTCCACATTGTGCTAAAAGGCTGTTTGATCCTGTCTTCTCTGATTCTCCCCTTTTTCCACAGTCCCCAATCCATCTGCTGATAGTACAGAGCTCTAGAAGTCACTCTGCACACTCTCAGTTTGGTGTGTATTGCTAGAGAGGTTTTTTTTTTCCTTTGGGAAGGTGCATGTGATCTGCACAGGGCCAATCAGCACTGTCCAAACAGAGGGTCAGGGGTAATGCAGCCTCATAGGACAGTCAGAGGAGAATGAAAACTCCTCCTTCAAGTTTTAACCAGTGCTCAGCTGGAGACTAATAGAAGTCACAAGACTGCTCTAACTGCTGATGAGAAAAGGTATTTAGCATGTTCTGTGTACTGTGGGAGTCCAGATATAGTGAATGCAGGGTCCTGGGTTTAGTAACATTTTTACATTGATGGCCACTGTAATGGAATATTCATAGGTTGTAAACAGACAGCTCAAATGATATTTTAATGCAGGAAAAACTAATTAATATAATAACTCTATTTTTTACAATCCCTTTCATGCCAAACCCCAAATGATAAGCTTCTTGAATCATCTTGCACTCATATACAAGGATAATTAGTCTAGTACAGACTCAATTTGTAAATACAGTATATATAATCAAAATTATAATTATCATTGCAATATTACTCAAGTATAACAGGATTCCTCGAGGCTAAAAATGTAATGAGCTAATTTTGGATAATATTTTATTATAATTTGAAAGATATTTGAAACAGAATGCCCATTTTTTTAAGTCTAATTCTAGAGAGGTTAGGCTGAAGAAAACTATTGCATGTCCAGCTGATAAAGAGCATTTGTTCTCCAAGATTTATTTTTTTAAGTGAGTACCAGAATGTTGCTGGATTTAATTGAGTAGTGCCCAGATTACATTCTAATACAATACTCTGGCATACAGGCAGTATAACGGAACAATAATTGATATTATGTTATGAATATGACACATGATTGGTTCCCAGCATCAGCTTCAGGGCAGAGGAGGAACAGCTGACAATAGATGCCCCATAGTAAGCCTATGGGTGACATCACCACATAGGCATTACAGCTGTCAGCGCTCTCTCCTCTTCACTGAAGACAGCCGCTGGGAAGATTACATGACCAGACCGGAGCACCCAGGGAATAGGTAAGTATACATATCTTTCCTCTACAAGCTAGTTAGTATAGGGCTTAGAGTGGGGATAGGAGCAGGTTTAAGTTTATATAGGATGTGAATGGACTTCTAAGTTTATCAGTTGAAATATAAAACAACTTGTGTGTTAAAAGGTGTTTTTGTCACCTACCTTGACCAAATCATCGAATAGATTGTTTTACCTACAAAAAAGTTATGCTGCTCTGCAGGAATCCCTGACTGGAAGGTCTCAAAGCAACTTTATCCAACAAATTAGTAAAAGAAAGACTTCCTGACTTGAGTTGAGAATGGGTATTACTAGCTAAAAAATATCAGGCCTGTGAAATATTGTAGGCTAATGAGATTCATCTTTATAGTTGAAATTTAACAAGCAGATTCTGAAATGAATGCATGAACTTGTATGATATAGCACTGCCTGAATTGATTATATACAAGTAACTTAATCTTTCCTGCAGCCTTAGAGAACTTGATCCACTAAGTGAAAAAATAACTGTAAAAAAGGAAACTTCTATCTTACGAACTTGGAGTAAATAACCTGAAATTGTTTGCCAAGCAACAATATATAAATATATATATGTATATATTACAGGCCCTTGAAGACCGCATGACAGTGATTGGATCCCATTATCTTTCATTTGTTGATGCTGAGAGCCCAAGTGAAAAAATAGTCTATAATGTAACTGTCCCTTTACAGTCACATGAAGGTGAGTTCAGAAATGACTGTTTACCTATCAAGTTGATTTCTTTCTACTGCATTCACTGGAACTAATCATCCTTAAATGGAAACTCTTGTAATTGGAGGAATGGAATAACTGTTTTGTAAATATCACGCTTATGTCATCCGTTTTCTGTGTTGGGTGTCCAGTATGTAAATCTAGGTATTGTTTCCAGCATCTAAGCATTATATTTAAAGTGGTTCTAAAGCCTTAACATTTTTTACTTTAATGCATTCCCAGCAATAAGGTGAAAAATGTTCTTGCACCAGTATTGCCTCTTATACATACCTGAGTCCTCACTCAATTCAGCACTGTGCCTGTCTGTAGTGGCTCTCTCCTCTCTTCCCACTCTCACAGGCTTTTTTGAGGTCAAGGCAAATCCTGTGAGAAGGGAGCGGGGATCAGTGCTGAACCACGCTGTGCGTCTTTGGATGCAGGCAGTGTGGCTTGGGATCGAGCTTGCATGAGTGCAAATATAGCAAGCGGTTTGCTGTGGGGCACCTGTAGAAAAGGAGGACCCATGAGTACCAGCAGGGAAACCCAGAAAAGGAGGTTTAGAGCCACTCTGTGCAATTCCATTGCACAGAGCAGATAAGTATAACATGTTTGTTATTAAAAAAAAATAATAATAAGACTTTTTAAATTACTTTAACACTTCCTAGACCTAGATGATAGCAATTTGTTGCAGATATGTACAGATTGTACAACTGCTAATTAATATTTACAGTCAAAACTCTGAAAAAAATACTTCCATTCTTATCACCACGAACCTAGGGATATCTGGACCTATTAGCTAGGCACCTGAGTCAAATCTGTAATCTGACCTGAAGTGTGTTTGCATTCAATTTCAGTTGTTATAATAACCACCTAAAGAACATTAGTTACCAGCAAGCTCATCCACATGCAAAGAAAGATAAAACAGTTAAATATATCCTCCCTCAACTATTGTATAATAAAACTTTAAAAAATTAAAATTGCACAGAAGCAGTTATTAAAGACTTTGATATTTTCAGAACTGAATGCCATGTATTAGGCTACGTTCACACTAGCGTTGTATGCAGGCAGCAGAGAGGCGTTTGGGAAGCGTTTTTACCGCTTCCCAAATGCCTCTGCTAGAGATGAGCGAATCGAACATGACGAAGTGGAATTCGTTCCGAAAATTTGGAAAAATTCTAATCGCGACGAATCCGAAGATTAGCAAACTTCGGATGCACGAATCGAATTTTCCCAAAAATGGTGGCGACAGGAGAAAATGGACAGAGAAGATGGGGCGGGGGGGATCTCTGGGAAGGCGCGCAGACAAGGCGTGCTGACCCATAATGCATTCATGAGTCATGAATCATGACATGTGATCGCATTAGCCAATCAGCAACCAGCCAGCCAGCACTGTGTAATGGTGGAGCTCTAAATCGCGGCCATCTTAGAATTCTCCATCATTCAAGAGACAGACCTCTGTGTATTGAGGGACAGAGTTAGGGCCACAGAGACTTTAGGGCCACAGAATCGTTACTCAGGGACACAGAATTGTTACTCAGGGACACAGAATTGTTACTCAGGGACACAGAATCGTTACTCAGGGACACAGAATTGTTACTCAGGGACACAGAATCGTTACTCAGGGACACAGAATCGTTACTCAGGGACACCAGAATTGTTACTCAGGGACACAGAATCGTTACTCAGGGACACAGAATCGTTACTCAGGGACACAGAATCGTTACTCAGGGACACAGAATCGTTACTTAGGGCCACAGCTATCAAAGAATCGAAAATTTAAAGTGACATACACCCTTTTTTTTTTTTGGTGGCTGTCGTGCACAGTTGGTGCTGCAGTTTGCCGATTGTGCAAAATATAAACTGACTTTCTGCTTCACAACCACTATTGTACGTTCAAAGAGTTAAATCCATTTACACGCCGGCTGGCGGTAATTATTTTTTGGGTGATTAGTGCATTCCAGTGACACAAAACGTACAGTTTCAGCCAACGGCAAGCTGCAATTGTACCGATTGTGTACAAATAAACTGACTTTCTGCTTCACAACCACTATTGTACGTTCAAAGAGTTAGATCCATTTACACGCGGGGTGGCGGTAATATTTTTTGGGTGATTAGTGCAATTCCAGTGACAGAAACGTACAGGTTTACAGCCAACGGCAAGCTGCAATTGACCGATTGTGCTAAATAAAACTGACTTTCTGCTTCACAACCACTATTGTACGTTCAAAGAGTTAAATCCCATTTACACGCCGGCTGGCGGTAATATTTTTTGGGTGATTTAGTGCATTCCAGTGACACAAACGTACAGTTTTCCAGCCAACGGCAAGCTGCAATTGGACCGATTGTGTACAATAAACTGACTTTCTGCTTCACAACCACTATTGTACGTTCAAAGAGTTAGATCCATTTACACGCGGGTGAGGTGGCGGGTAATATTTTTTGGGTGATTAGTGCATTCCAGTGACATAAACGTACAGTTTCCAGCCAACGGCAAGCTGCAATTGACCGATTGTGCTAAATAAACTGACTTTCTGCTTCACAACCACTATTGTACGTTCAAAGAGTTAGATCCATTTACACGCCAGGTGGCGGTAATATTTTTTGGGTGATTAGTGCATTCCAGTGACTTAAACGTACAGTTTCCAGCCAACGGCAAGCTGCAATTGACCGATTGTGCTAAATAAACTGACTTTCTGCTTCACAACCACTATTGTACGTTCAAAGAGTTAGATCCATTTACACGCCGGGGTGGCGGTAATATTTTTGGGTGATTAGTGCATTCCAGTGACAGAAACGTACAGTTTCCAGCCAACGGAAAGCTGCAATTGTCCCGATTGTGTACAATAAACTGACTTTCTGCTTCACAACCACTATTGTACGTTCAAAGAGTTAGATCCATTTACACGCCGGGTGGCGGTAATATTTTTTGGGTGATTAGTGCATTCCAGTGACATTAACGTACAGTTTCCAGCCAACGGCAAGCTGCAATTGACCGATTGTGCTAAATAAACTGACTTTCTGCTTCACAACCACTATTGTACGTTCAAGAGAGTTAAATCCATATACACGCCGGGTGGCGGTAATATTTTTTTGGGTGATTAGTGCATTCCAGTGACATAAACGTACAGTTTCCCAGCCAACGGCAAGCTGCAATTGACCGATTGTGCTAAATAAACTGACTTTCTGCTTCACAACCACTATTGTACGTTCAAAGAGTTTAAAGCCATTTACACGCCGGCTGGCGGTAATATTTTTTGGGTCATTAGTGCATTCCAGTGACAGAAACGTACAGTTTCCAGCCAACGGCAAGCTGCAATTGACCGATTGTGTACAATAAACTGACTTTCTGCTTCACAAAAAGCCACTATTGTACGTTCAAAGAGTTAGATCCATTTACCTCGCCGGGTGGCGGTAATATTTTTTGGGTGATTAGTGCATTCCAGTGACATTAAACGTACAGTTTCCAGCCAACGGCAAGCTGCAATTGAAGATTGTGCTAAATAAACTGACTTTCTGCTTCACAACCACTATTGTACGTTCAAAGAGTTAAATCCATATACACGTCGGGTGGCGGGTAATATTTTTTGGGTGTGATTAGTGCATTCCAGTGACATAAACGTACAGTTTCCAGCCAACGGCAAGCTGCAATTGACCAATTGTGCTAAATAAACTGACTTTCTGCTTCACAACCACTATTGTACGTTCAAAGAGTTAGATCCATTTAGACGCCGGGTGGCGGTAATATTTTTTGGGTGATTAGTGCATTCCAGTGACACAAACGTACAGTTTCCAGCCAACGGCAAGCTGCAATTGACCGATTGTGTGACAATAAACTGACTTTCTGCTTCACACAACCACACGCGGGTATTTGTACGTTCAAAGAGTTAGATCCATTTACATTGTGCACTGGGTGGCGAGTAAATCCATTTTTTGGGGTGATTAGTGCATTCCAGTGACATAAACGTACAGTTTCCAGCCAACGGCAAGCTGCAATTGACCGATTGTGCTAAAAATAAACTGACTTTCTGCTTCACAACCACTATTGTACGTTCAAAGAGTTAAATCCATATACACGTCGGGTGGACGGAAATATTTTTTGGGGGTGATTACTGCATTCCAGTGACATAAACGTACAGTTTCAGCCAACGTCAAGCTGCAATTGACCAATTGTGCTAAATAAACTGACTTTCTGCTCACAACCACTATTGTACGTTCAAAGAGTTAGATCCATTTAGACGCCGGGTGCGGTAATATTTTTTGGGTGATTAGTGCATTCCCAGTGACATAAACGTACAGTTTCCAGCCAACGGCAAGCTGCAATTGGAACCGATTGTGCTAAATAAACTGACTTTCTGATTCACAACCACTAATTGTATGTGCAAAAGAGTTAGATCCATTTACACGCCGGGTGGCAGGTAATATTTTTTTGGGTGATTAGTGCATTCCAGTGACAGAAACGTACAGTTTCCAGCCAACGGCAAGCTGCAATTGACCGATTGTGTACAATAAACTGACTTTCTGCTTCACAACCACTATTGTACGTTCAAAGAGTTAGATCCATTTACACGCCGGGGTGGCGGTAATATTTTTTGGAGTGATTAGTGCATTCCAGTGACCATAACCGTACAGTTTCCAGCCAACGGCAAGCTGCAATTGACCGAATTGTGCTAAATAAACTGACTCTTTCTGCCTTCACAACCACTATTGTACATTCAAAGAGTTAAATCCAATATACACGCAGGGTGGCGGTAATATTTTTTGGGTGATTAGTGCATTCCAGTGACATAAACGTACCAGTTCCAGCCCAACGGCAGAGCTGCAATTGACCGATTGTGCTAAAATAAACTGACTTTCTGCTTCACAACCCACTATTGTACGTTCAAAGAGTTAAATCCATTTTACACGCCGGCTGGCGGTAATATTTTTTGGGTGATTAGTGCATTCCAGTGACAGAAACGTACAGTTTCCAGCCAACGGCAAGCTGCAATTGA